TCATCTCACTTCAGTCCCCTGCCAATGATTTGTCCAGGTCTAAGGTTCCTGGCTGTGGCTTTGGTCAGCCCTGTGACCACCGGGGCAGGGCTGGGTCCTGCATCCGACCTGCCGCCGCGGCCCAAGTGCCCTCTGCGGCACAGGGCAGGAGCCTGGCTGGGGATGGGGTGGAGGGCAGGGCATCCTCCTCTCCCAAAGACCGCTACGCTCCTTCAGTGCCCGGGAGCCTGCAGTTCCCAGTGGGGTGGGCTGGAAGCATTAGACGGCAGCTGAAAAAGAGGAATTTTGTGGGGTGGGGTGCAGTGGGGAGGAGCTGATTTTTCTCTCAGCTCACAGACAGCTGGAATGGGATGCTGGAAAATCAGAGGGGCTGGAGAAAGGGCTCCTGAGAAACGGAGTGTGGGTTGCAATGGCTGAGGTTATCTGCCAGAGCAAAAGGCAAACTGGCACTGGATGCAAAAAGCTGTGGAGCTGGCTGGGCGGGGAGCCCTGCCCCGGGGGAGAAGTGGCTGGACGAACCCAGGCAAGAAACCTGCCGTACGTTTAGTGATGAGCCAAAACCATCCTGAAGATTGAGCGGTTTTGTAAGGTGGGGGGAAACACGGGCCAAGGCAAGGGGATTGCGGAGAGGTCTGCGCCCACGGGCAGGCAGACCTGTGCCAATGTTCCCAGCGGGATGACGTTGACCAAGCAAGAGTGCTTTTGCTACAGGAGTAGCCCTACCGCCTGATAAACCAAGTGGGGCTGTTCGGTGGCTGCCAGAGGAGGGTTTTGGGAGAAGACTTGATCCTGCATGCCTTGGGCAGGCAGCCGGCCAAGGGGGTATGTCCTGTTTATCACTGGTGCTAAGCGACGGGAACATGGGTAGCGATGAGTGGGGGCAAGCAGGTTGGAAGACATGTCCGATGGGATGGCTCCAGCAGCCGGGGCTGGAGGGATTGGGGTGAGTTCAACGGAGCTGGAGCAGACCCCCGGAGCCGGACACAGCCCTGGATTTTGAACCCGGCGCGGGAGGTCCAGGCAGATGCCCTGGATTCATACTGCCGTGTGCTTGGGGGAGCTCTGGTGGGTACTGCCCCGTGCCTATGCTCTGCTCTGGCACCTGCTCTTGCCCACCCTTGGGGACAGGACAGACGGGAAGATATTCCGGCCCAGAAAGATTTTCTCCTGTTTGTATGCTGTCTTTTATTTTCTACCATGTGTGTGCCCCAAGCATTGCAAAATGTGAGTAACCTGGCCCACGGGAACCGGATCGGCTCCTCTCTTCCCTTGTTTATTACTGTCAACAGAGAGAAAGTCTTTAATGTGGAAAAAAAACCTTTCCCCTTAGCCTGTGAATCCAGCCCAGACTTGCACTGGGAGCACCGGCAGCGATGTGTTTCGGGCCGAGACATGCCACTGAAATGGCTTCAGAGGCGCTGGGAGTCCTGCAGTGGCAGCGCGAGAGTCACGTCACGAAGCTGTCCGTGTCTCCCTGGCAAATGCCAGTGCTTTTCTGATCCTGAAATCTTTTAGGCCCCATTTCTCTTCCTGGGAGAGGGTCAAAGTACTGCTCGAGCTTATGCCTCAGCTGTATGAGGAGATCCTGGCCCCAGGGGATGTCCCTTTGTCAGGAGCGTTAGATTCAATAGAAACAAAATGCAGGGTGCATCCAGGCCCATCGCAGAGTTTTCCTCCCGACAGGGGAAGAAATAAGAGCTGCTGGGATGTGCAGTTGGCAATTTTGCACGGTCCTGTGGCGTTGCAGTGAGGAGTTGGCAGCTGCAGCCTGTGTTCAGCATCCCACTCCTCAGGACCCCTCGGGCCGAGGCTCGACCACCATCCAGCGGCGGCCTCGGCTGCACCCTCCTTCATCCATTTTCCTTTTGTTTCAGTGGGCAGGGGTCAGCCTGTCTCTCCTCAGCATCAGAACTAATCCAGGCCAGACAGATACGAATCAGACATGACTTCCAATAGGATCCCTTGCCTTTTCTTTCTCCGTAGGATACAGCCGCATGGATGGAAACTGCGGTGTTTTATTGCTCCTCCGGTTGTTCCAATACTTCTCGGAGAACGGTGTCATCTCATCGGTATTTCCATGTGCAATCTCTGCCTGGGCTTCCTCCCTCCTCTCCCTCTTACTAACCAGATGGTTTTGAAGTGACTAAACCAGGCGCCGATACGTGCGGTTCCTTGCCAGGAGGCTTCTCAGCACCGCTGCCATCGCTTGTAGGCAGAGCATGCCCTAGCAGGCGGAGAGAGCCGGCAAGGCATCACAGGTGGGAGCTGCCCGCCATGCCCAGCCCAGGAAAACGTGGGCTCCGGCACTGGCGAGAGGCAGGGAAGAGGCTAGAGGAGATGTGCAGATCCGCGCTCTGCTCCTGGAGCGCCAGAGGGATGCGGCGGTGATGAGCGAGTGCCCTTCCAGAGATTCGGATGGCCGTCCATTTTCTAGGGAGCACGCCAGGGAGGCTGGAAAATGCCTGCTGGAATCTGTCCTGGTCTGAACTTCTAGGCTGAAACTGCCCAGTTTTGGAAGTCCCGGCTTAAATACTCTCCTACAGGTCAATGGAGGGACTTTATCCCTCCCTGGAGTGGGGATGAGCTCTGCCAGACCACTCGCAAGCCCCCAACATGGCCCTCTCGGTTGCAGCAGCCCTGCTGTCCGGAAGACCTACCCCTTTGTTTTCCAGTGGTTTTTGTTTTTCTTTTTTTCCCTGATACGCTAAGGTTTTCTGGCCACTAATCCAAAAAATGTGACTGTGAACATGGAGAGCCTTTGCGGGGTGAGCGCGGGCACAGACCAGCCCATCGCTGTGCCATCGAGCCTTCACCGTGAGGGACAAGGACAACATTTTCCCCGGTGCCGTCGCAGGCCGGGCAGCCCGTGGGTGCCAGGGAGGGTGTCCGTGGCTGA